CGGCGCCGCCGCGGGCCCGGGCCCCGACGCGGGGACGGGGGCGGTTGCCGGCGCGACCGCAGCGCCCGCCGAGCCCCGGAAGCCGCAGGGCGTGAAGCGGCACCACCACAAGCACAACCTGAAGCACCGTTACGAGCTGCAGGAGACGCTGGGCAAGGGCACCTACGGCAAAGTCAAGCGCGCCACCGAGCGCTTCTCGGGCCGAGTGGTGAGTGGCTCGCCCGCCGCCGCCGCGACACTTGCTGCGGCGTGGGCCTGGGCCGCGGGTCCGCCGCCGCTGTGCGCGCTGGGGCCGGGTCTGGCCCGCTGTCCCCGGCTCCGACCTCCCGGGGCCCGGGCCCGTCCCGCCCCCGCCTGCCGCCGCAGACTCGGTCCGCGCCCTCCTACCGCCCGGTGCCCCGCGGCCGGCCCAATCCGGGTTCTTCGGGAAGGAGCCCGAGGAGCCACCGCGGAGGCTGCGGGGCACGGGGAGCGGGGCGCGGCCGTGCGGGCTCGCGGGAGGGCGCAGACCCGAGGGTCTCCGGCTGGGGGCCGCCCGGTGACAGCGAGCCCCGCCGGTGCCGAGCGTCTGCTTAGCCCGGAGCTCTCGGCGTGCCTGGCGGGCGCCCTGTCTGGCCCCGGACCGATTGTTGTTATTTTCCTTTCTGCGGAGCAGGCCCTCGGAACCCACCCTGCCTGCGGCTGGAGTTGGGTTCGGAGTGCCTGACGGCTGCAGAAAGAGTCTGTGGTGTGTGGTGGGGAACTGGCGTGTTGCTTTAATTTCAAGCACAGCAGATGTGTTTTAATCGATTTAGAGCCAAAGTCAGAAAGTAATTATGAGGCTCCTTGAGCGCACTGTTTTTGGGCTGGTGCTTGCTTTGGGCCCAGAGTCGCCTGTAAATCTAGCAAATGGCCACGGGGAAAAGCGAGATGCGCTGTCAGTGAAGTGCTGGTGTCGATGTTTTTCTTCTGCATTTGTGCAAGGGCAGTTCTTTGGAAGAATGGGGTGCTGGTCAGCAGAGTTCAGCCCCCAGATTCTAACAGCTGCAAAACTGGACCCTCCCCCCTTTCCTGAGATGCACTGTTGGGACCGATAGGACTTTATCCTGTAAGTTTGAAAAGTATTATTGATTAATTAGAAATTCGGGATGTGGCACTTCTATTTTAAAGCTGTCTCTCTATGGCAAGCGAGTCCAGACTTCACTCTTCGCAGGTTCCTTTGGCGCAGGGTGGAAAATCTAAAGGGATGGTTGCAGTGATGTCCAGCGATGCTGCCTCCTGGTTCATGGAGGAGGCAGAGAAGCATGCACCTCATTCATACTTACCTTCTGCAGCCGGATTGCCCAGGCTGAAGGTTGAAAAAGAAAAGCCAAGCGTAGTTCCCCACCCGGCCGTGTCGTCTTAATAGCTGTTGAAGAACCGCGCTAGGAAGTTGGAAAGCAACATAATGAAAACCAGATCTGGTTGGAGGCGCAGGTTGCAACGGAATCCTTGCGAGGGGTTGAGTGGGAACAGGGTGTGTCTGGGATCTGTCTGCAAAGGAACCCCAACACGTGGGTGCTGGGGAGCCCCTGGAGCTGTTTAAAAGTATGCCCTGGTAGACGCCTTCCTGAGCTTCCTGGGGGCACCAAGCCCGGTGCTCTCTTAGCGCTCCGGTCACAGCCCATGTTGAAGGACTGGCAGCAGAGGCAGGAGCTGCTTGTGGCTTTGGATGGGTCGAGCCCAGCTCTTTGCAGTGTGAACATTCCGTCAGGATTTCGTGGCACGGCCACTAGGGGGCGCCCTGAGAACGAGAGAGGCGCAGTTCTCAGCCGAGCGAAGAATCAGCTCTGTTATTGTCCAGCCCTTAGTTCCCTTCCCCATTGTGCTCATAATTTCAGCAAAATCCCTTGTTTTACTCAGAAATTATGTAAAGATTTCCAAGCTGGCAGCAGATCCAGGCCCAGAAATTGGCAGTTCCCAAAGTGCTTCGTGTGTCGCCGGGACTGTTTTTCCTCAGACTGAGCAACCGCCTCCTGGGCGGAACAGATGGGGGACGGATCTGGAGGGTCTGGTGCTGCCCTGGCGAGCAGATGGCACCGAACTGGGGGAACAGGACCGTCAGGTGGAGCATGTCCTTGGCCTGGCAGGACAGAAGAGAACACAAAACACAGTGGGTCAGCAAGTCGATGTTGCCGAGTGCTGGGGGACTCGGAGTATGTCACGGGCAGCAGAAATGTTTCATGTGAGTTGTGAATGTGGATTTTCTTCCGGTCCCCACGATGCGTGAAGCCTCCACAGCTTGCTTTCAGGCTCTTTCGAGATGGAAAGAGGGCCGGGGCGCCCCGGGTGGCTTTCCGGGGGGCTGTTTGGGGCCTGGTTTGGACTGGCTCCTTTGATAGAGTCCTCAGCCAGGAGTCACGTGCTGGGTGTCTGGCTCCAGGACGTTCGGGGAAGTCAGCATCCCTGGAGGCAGAGGCTCTATCCAGAGAGGAGAAACTCGAAAAAATCACAATGTGGTGGCTAGAATTGTGAGTCGGGATAGGCCTCGTGAATACACCACGCTGTGACAGAGCATTGCCTTGACCTTCCCTGTCCACACCAGCACGTCTGTGAGACAGGGAAGTGGTGTCTGGAGGTGCCAGGGCCCAGCACCGAGCCTCCTGCAGCAAAGCTGAGCTTGGGCTCCAGTTCCGTCTTCCTCTGAGCTTCACTGGCTCTGTGGCTCAGGCTGGCTATGGAAACCTCAGCTCTCCTAATACCAGCTTCTTGGATTTAGGGAAGTTGAATGAAACGATCTATAGGAAGCCTCAAAAGGGGAAATGAAGCATTTTAGTTTCCTTTTCTAGTGAGGTTTTTTTCCCCCATCTCATTTAGGATTTGACTTCAGTTCTTAGGCCAGGGAGAGGCAAGATGCATTGGACAGTGTTAGCCTTGTGTTGTGCAGAGAGAGGTCGGGCAGACAATCAGCTTTTCGGGGTAATTAAATTCTGATGCTAGAGTAATTAGGGAGGAAGGTGAGCCCATCAGGCAGATGCAGATAGGATCTGAGTGTTCTGAAGTCTTGCATGTGGGCCTCCGTTATTGCACAACCTTTGTTTTGATGTGCTTGGGGCGGGGTGGGGTGACCCTCGGGTTATCTTAGGCCTGTGCTTTCTTTGAGCCAAGCAAGCGTTGCCAGAAAAGCCCACACCACTTTTGGGGAGAGAAGTCATGTGACCACTTCAGTGTCCAAGGCCCTGCACCAGGTTATTTGGACTCTGGGAGGGGGCTGGGCGGCAGCAGCAGGCCCCGGGGGCAGACTGCCCCTAGCCAGGGGAGCTGGAGCTTGAGGACAGCGAGGCCTCTTCACTTACCAAGCAGGGAGATCTGACCAGAAGTGGGTGTTTTAACACCGGTCCCAAACTGCTCATCCTCATGCCGGACAGCTGCCCATGGCAGGGAGAGGGAGAGGGGTGTCGATCAGCCGCTGACCTGCTAAGCCAGAGGCTGTGTGGCTGTCCAGTGTGTGGCCCATGAGGTGCCATGTAGTAGAAACCCAGTTGCAGCGTGTAAGGGACCCTGGTGAACCTGTTCTCCAGACTCCCCGTCCATGAGATGGGGAAAGTTAAGAAACTGGAGCGATCAGTGACTTTCCTAAGGTCGCACAGCTGGTGACTGAGCTGTGTTGAAACCTGATCCTTAGTTTGGAATTTTTGGAGCATTCATTTAGTGCATCTTTACTAGGCCAAGACACCGTCCTCACTGCTGAAGAACTTCTGTCTGGCCGCAGTAAGGTGATGTGTACCTACAGATACTGAACCCATCCTGTTCAGCTTGCCATCGATTTATTCCCCTGTGGCACTCACCTTGTCACATGTGGGGGCAGAGATGAGTAGGACCCGAGGGACTTCCGGTCAGTAGTTACAAGGCCTGAGTGACTCTGCCATCCAGGATGCAATTGTGACAGGTGGCTGCCAGGTTGGGCTGTAGCTCCCTGCGGGTCAGCTCCTCAAACAGAGTTGGAGGTTGGGAAGGAGCTGTTCCCCCTGTGGTACCACTGTTCCTATTGTTACTGCCAGTGGAGGTCTCAGAGCTTGGGGGCTGTCGCTCTGTGCCAAGTGCTTTACAGCCCTCTTCTCTTGCTGAACACTGATCATTATGAGGTGTGCACACTGGTTAGAGCCATTTGGAGACCGGAGAAAAACGACACCTATGGAATTGAAAGGACTTGCCGAGGGTTACACAGCTGGATGGTATCCAGCTGCTTGTCTGTCTGGAAGCCCACTGCTGGACAAACCAAAGCCTTTCCTGATGTTGTGCAGCTGGTTCCTCCAGATGCATACATGGTCCTTCACCACCAGTACTGTCTTATTGTTGCTGGGACAAAATCCTTGACACCCATAAATTCAAAGAGGAAAGGTTTATTCTGGCTCACAGTTTGTAGAGGTTTCAGTCCTTAGGCGGCTGGGTCCTAGGCAGGATGGCATCACAGAGGAGAAACAGTCCATGGCAGGGCAGGCATGAGGCAGTGTGACTTCCTTCTTTCCTTTTTTATTTTATGCAGGCTGCAAGCCTATTGTTTGGTGCCACCCACACCCAGGGTGGGTCTTCCCCTTCAGTAAATCCACCACTCACACCCAGATCTGTGCTAAACCAATCAGAGGACTGATCCAGCATTAAATAACCAGGATTCGGTCACTCCTCAAAGCCTCACCTATGAGCACAGGAGGCTTTGGGAGACATCTAGATGCAAACCACAAGTACCAGAGAGCAGCCCTGAGGTGATTCTTCTCTGGGCTGGGAAAGGTAGAAGGCAGTGCTCATACCAGGGTGCGGTAGAGACAGGGTTGGCGAGGTAGGATGGAGGCAGTAATATCAGATGTGCAGGGTCCGTGTTCACTGATGGCAGCCTCCTATGCAGCCTGCCATCATGCCACTTTCCAGATGAAGAAACAGTCACAAGGGCTAAATCAGCTTGCCCAAGGTCACACTCAGCAGCAGAGCCAGGGTTTGGCCGGGGCTTGTAACCACAGCCCTCTGGGTGGGGCTGTGCTGGTTCTGATCACATCGTGGGTTTAGGGTGCTGCCTTGCAGCAGGGAGATTTCTGCAGGACTGAGGTGTGAGAACTTAAGGGTCAGAAGCCAGCAGAGCTGCTTCTGGGGCGCTGTCTGCCCAGTGGACAGAACGTGTTGAAGGAATCAGGGCAGGGGCTCTACCTGCACGCACACTGTGCTCTTTGTTCCTGGAACCCCTGAGGGGCCTGCCGG